CCCCGCCCCCAGCTGTGTGCCCTCCACCCACACCCTGTTGGTCTCTCCCGGTCTGTTCCTGGGGCTCTTGGGGCTGTAGACATGTGCCAGCTCTCCATGTCCCCATACTGTGTGCCCCAAGGAAGCTGGAGATAGAGGTTGGCCCGAAGCCACCCTCTCCTGCCCAGAGGAACTGCGGAGACAACTCTGACATGGAGGTGCCAGCACCCAACCCGCTGTACTTGTGCTGGGCGCCTGGTGCTTCCCAGGACCCCAGCCTTGAAACCAACAGCAGGTCCCAGAAGAGCTTGCTCGCAATGCCTCGTCCCTGGGGAAGCCAGGTGACAGAGTCTCCGTGCACACTGTGCTGTGCTGCGGGCCTCATAGGTCTGGCAGGGCCTTCTGGGGAGGAAATCCTGGTCAGAGCTGCGGGGCAAGGGCCCAGCCCATCCCCCGAGTGCAGAGAGGGGCCCGAGGGGGCAATCCCCAGCCCTGACACTCTCTAATCTGGTGAGGGAGTGCCAGTGTCGTATGGACAAGGGCACAGGTCAGAGGCATCTCAGGGCAAGGCCAGGGCAAGGCGACCTGAGTATGGTAGATGTCCCCAAGGTCACTGTCACAAGGAAGGTTCATACCACTTTCAGGCAGGGAGATGCGCAGGCTCCAGGCAGACCCGCAGCTTTGCTCACACAGAGCTCACGCTCCAGTGTAATAAACCCCAGGAAACCAACCAGCAAACCAAAGAGAGTGGGTCAGAAACTGGCCTGCAGCTCCTGCATTGAGTCAGGGCACCCTGTGTGGCTCCTGTGGGCAGCTGGGGACAGAAAGGGATTCCAAGTAGAGCCTGCAGGCCTTCTACAGCTGTCTGCCCTGCTGGACCCAGAACTTGGCCTGGCCTCACGGGTTGCAGGTGTGACCTGGGCTAAGGTTCAGCCAGTGTTTCTTGAACAAATGTATGCATTTCACCCTGACCACAGCCCTTCTGCACAGATGCCTGCTGCTGCCCCGCGCCCTGAGCCCACTCCCCACTAGGCTCTGACACCATGGACCTCACATATGCTGTCTGGGAACTGCAGGCAGGTCCACACCTCTGTGCCTTTGCACTTCTGTTCCTTCCCCGGATCACCTCCTACCTCTGTGACTCTGGGCTTCGGTCATTTAATTCCTATGCTCCCTGTTGTCCTCCACGTTTGAACAACGCAAAGCTCGCTGCTTGAGCTTGGGTCTCTGTCAGGCTGGAGTGAGGGTGGGGTGGGGTGTGTGTGTGTGTTTGCCTCTGTTTCTCTCCTGCCACCAGCTTGCTAGTCAGTTTGAGAAGAGGAGGAGCAAGAAAGGTAGGAAAGGTTTTGTTCAATCTTGCCAACGTTAAGCTGAATCGCACTCTCTAGACCAGGCAGCTATTGAGAAATGACACTTTCTCTAATGGGTGATTCTTCCGTGGAGATCTCTCTTCTAATGCCCTTGACCTCGCTTGATGTATCTCTATTCCAGGTGGTCACTTGAGAAGCCTCTGCAAGCCCGAAAACTTGTGAGGCGCATTCATCTCCCTCCATTCCTCCAGGTGGCCCGCTGAGCCGGGGGCAGGAGGAACCCACGCTGCCGCTCGGCCCTGGGGGGCCCTCGCCTTGTCTGCTAAAACACCCTTGCGTCTCTCATCGAAACATCGTGCGTGCAGCTGTTTTCCTTTCGGTCAATAATTGCCTGGGATATAGTTTTCAATCACGTGACTTTCAACCTTTCCCTAACTTGTCCTTTCGATATGTTAACCTAAAAATAAAAGGCCATAATGAGAGGCAACAAGCATTTACTTGAGATCAATAAGAATAGCTATTCGGGAAGCACTGATTTAGGAAGAAACCCAAATAGTGTTCCCATTAGGAGACAAAGGTGTTTATGAGAAGGGGAGGGGACAATGACATCCACAGAAGGAAGGCGTTGCTATTGGTGCAGACAAGCTAACACAGTGATGCTAATTCTAACCAATGTTATTAATTTTTAGCCTGGTAATCATCAGTCCGGGAGTCATATCTACTTTCTTGATATCTTTGCAAACAGTTCTTGGGGACACACGTTTGCTAAGGTCCAGAGCAAAGGTTATTTTGCTGTTTCAACATTCCAAAGGTTTGAGGACCAAGACGGGCAAAGCGGCTCCTGCTCCATTTTAAACTGGCCCCATTTGTAGTATTGTTTGTAGATGATATTCCCTTAAATACATATTTTGGGAATCACTGCATTGGGACTCTAGTTAAACAATATTAAATTACATACTTGAAAGTTGCTAAGACAGTAGTTAGTAAATGTTCTCACCACACACAAGAAATTATGTAAAGGGTTTGAGCTGTCAGCAAACGCTATGGTGAAATTCATTTTGCATTATGTAAGTGTATCGAGTTAACGTGTGCACTTAAACTTGCAGGGTTACATGACAATTATATCTCAATACAGCTGGGCAAGCAGTTTCCTATAGCAGTAAAAATAAGAAAGAAAATTCTTATTTTACATGTCATGTGAGGAGTGAGCTTCATTCGTGTTGGAGCCACATACGCCTTTGGGTCTTTGTCACAGCAGTAAGCATGAACACACACCTTAGCCCACTGTCACCTGGCTCGCATTGTGGACCCTGAAAGGTTGCCTCTGAGTGGAATTGCCATGCCCGTATGTGAGCTCTATTTAACCTCAGGCTGCTTTCAGATCGTTTCTTGGTTTTCTGTGTCCTTCGGTTTTACAGCTGTCAAGTCTCCGTAGGAGTCCTTTTTATTTGTCCTGCGGTCTCTCCTCTCTCTCCTCTGTCTCTCTCCCCTCACCCGTCCCTTTTTCCCTCCCCTCTCACTACATATGCTCAGAGCTCCTATGGCTCTCTTCCTCTGAAGAACTCTGCCCGAGAGACCCAGTGTAGGCAAAGCCCCAGAGACCAAAAGCAAACGAGTGTTCGCCCAGGCCTGTGCACAGCATGAAAGGGGAGTAACTGCTTATTCGATGTGGGGTTTCCTTTTGGGGTGTAAAGTGTTCTGGAATTTGTGGTGATGGTTGCACAACATTGTGAATGTACTAAAAACACTGAACTTTTAAATGATGAATTTTACCTCAGTAATTTGAAATCAGGTCTTGATTTAAAGAAAATGCAGCAGGAGGCAGAGGGCCAAGGGTCTTGGTTTTCTGTCCCCTCCACGCTTTTTTTCTGATTCTGATCACAGGTGCAGTGAGTGACAGCAGGACGGACGCTCCCTGCCCCTGCCCTGTCAAGGCCATTACAGCTGCTTAGGGCCCCTCCCTCCCAGGTGCCAGTTCTGGGAAACATCCAATTGCTTGTATGAAGCCGGGTGGCGTTTCGAGACGACTCCTGTTCCAGCTGAGCCTGTCGGAGTGACCACACAGGGCGCTGGACAGTCTCTAATGTCAGGCCCTGAGTATGCACGAGCCTCCTCATCGCCAAGAACAGTCACTGCTTCCATTGTGGTCCCAGCCTGAGAACTGGAAGGATGGGGTCTGAGGTGGCCCCGGGGACCCGTGGTCTGTGCATAGCTGGGACCTCTCTTTCAGCTTGACAGGTACCTAGAATACGCCCTGTAACTGATCTGTTTGATTAAAATACTCAATCTCTGATGCTAAAGTGGCAAGGTGTTTTTGGTCTACGTGAGAGATGAAGGCTAAAAGGGAAAAAACAGATAAAATCTGACACCACAAAGAAATCTCTGCTTGTGCAGCAGCCAAACAACAACGTGCTTTATTTCTCTCTTGAAATAAGCCGCCAATGGGTAACTCACCAACAGGGTCAGTGTCTCTGGTTCACTAGAGAGCAAAGGAGCGTGGACTTGCTTTGAGGAAGTGGGGGTGGGGGATGATGACAGGGCTTCTATGTCAGCGTGTTGCTGATGAGGATGGAGGCGCAGCTCAGGAGAAACGTTGACTCCCCCAAGGGCACAGTTCCTTCTACCTCCTCCTCAATTATTTCATCGGGGGAGATGTCCCTCTCCAGAGTAGGCCCTCCTTCGTTGCAAGTCATTGTACTACAACAACGAACCCAATAGAAATGACTCGTTTTCACGGTTTTAGGGGCTTCAGGAGGCACTTGGTATGGATACAGAAAGGTACAGTTGTTTGTACAGTTCTTGTAAATGAGTAGTTCGCGAGGGTTCAAACCTGAAAAAGGAGTAGAGATTAAATCATTGATTTCACATTTTCTGCTTGCAAACATCAAAGCACGTTCACTGTAACTAGCGCCATGCCCACATTCTGCATCTTCAAATGTCACTACATTGTGCAATTCTTGAGTGAAAAAGAATACCCAGGTCCAGCAGAGGGTCTGCTTACTCCCTGAGCAACTACTCCTGGAGATGGTGTTGTCTGCACTGCCGCCTCATCTCGGCTCTGGTCCTCCCTGAATAATGTATGGCACCTTGTCATAGCTACACTAATGAAATGTCCTCTCCATTATTTGTCACAAGACTTCCAGGGCTCTAGAAATGAAATGGAAACCAGGAATCCTGTTTAGCTTGTGTCCCCGAGATCACCAGACCCTCCCGCAGAGAGCCCATTATTGTCTTCAGCTGATTGTCTGCAGCTGGCGTGGCCCCTCCAGGATGAGCTCCTACCTGGGCCCCTCACCTGGAGTCCTGAGCTCCTGGCCCAACATATAAATGCTGACACGCCTGAATGCTCACCTCTTCCTCAGTACAGACTTGATGAACCCCCCAAGTAAGGTCCCGCAACTACTGTGGTGACATTCACAGGTCAGCTAGCCCGGAGGCCTCTGCCCACCAATGCTACCTGACCACAGCTCCCTCGGAGGCCTCCTTGGAGAGTCCCGGGCTCCGTTCCCCTCACAGCACTCACACGACCACTTCCTCCTGGAACTCACCAGGAGAGTTAGCCACTCCTGGCTCTGGGGCTGCCTCCCAACCCCAGAAGGACCTAATGACTAAACTCTGGTTACTTGCTTTTCTTTATTATTTTCCATGTAAAGAGTTTAGGAAGTCCCACACTCACCACAGAAGCACAGAGCTGTAAGTCGACAGCTTAGTGGATTTTCATGAAGTGTGCCTATCCATGTACCAGTATCCAGCGCAAGTAACAGAACTGGATGAAACCTGCTGTTCCTCCATTCAGGCACCAGAAGCATCAAGGCCCAAGACAAGAAGTGTCTGGGCTTCTAAACCTATACATTAGTTTTGCCTGTTTTTGCATTATGAAAATAAAATCCTACATTGTTTTTGTGGCTGGCTTCTCTTGTCTACTTTGTGATGTGAAAGTCATCCTGTTGTATGTAACTGTGTACTTTTCCACTGATGACTGGAGCACAGTTTATCGTCGACGGATAAACTGTGGTTGTTTCTGGTTTTTATCTGCCCCTCAAAGAGCTGCTGTGGAGCTCCGGTCCTGGTCTTGGGTGGCCCATGTGCGTGTTTCACTAGGTGTCCACCTAGGTGTGCCGAGGCTGGTCTTCCAGGGGCAGGCGGACGGTTTAGTAGCTGTCGAGTTTCTCAGAGTGGCTGTACCACATACACTCCTGAGGGCTGTGTGATGGCCACATCCCGCCCCCCATGCTGTGCTCATTGGAATGTTCAGTCATCTTTTTGATGTTACTGGATTGTGGTTTTAAGTTGCATTTCCACCAAGAAGAATGATGTTAAATGACTTTTTCTGGCATTCATTACCGTCTGGATATGGTTTTCTGCTAAGTTGCCATCAAGCCTTTAGCTCACATTTCTGTTGGATAGTCTGCTGTTCCATTATTGATTTGCAGGAAAAAAAAGTTCATTCTCACTTCTGAAGGCAAGTCCTTTAGTAGGTATGTGCTTCGAAGAGGTCCCTCCTCGTCTGTGTCTTCTCAGGGGCAGAAATGGTGAATTTTTACATAGTCCCATTCATCAATTTTTTTTTCTTATGTGATAGCACTATTTTGCTCAGCTTTGAAAAATTTTTTCTTATCCAAAGGATAAGTTCTTCTACACTTTCCTGAAAAACAGGTTTTTCTTTCAGCATTTCCACTGAGTTCTACAAACCCCAGGAAACGGCTTCTTTTGTAGGGTGTAAATATTGTGCAGACATTCTCATCTCTCCACCATGAAGTAACGCACAGTGTCTTTCCCCACTACACTGCAGGGCCAGCTGTATCAGCAAGCACGTGACTGGATATATGTGGCTTTTTCTGAGAATCTCTTTTCTCCTCTGTTGGTCCATTTTTCAATCCTGACACCAACACTGCACTATCTTAATTAATGAAGCTACAGAAATAATTCTGATGGCTAAGAGTGCAAGTCCTCCAGCTGTTTTCTTCTTCCCCAAGATTGGCATAGCTATTTCTAGCCCTTTATATTTCCATGAACATTTAACATTTGGAATCAACTTCACAAGTGTGCGTGCGCACGTGCACACACACACCCCAACTTGCTGAGATTCTAATTGGAATTTTATTGAATTTGTAGATTAGTTTAGGGAGAATAGCCATCTTTATTGGGTCTCACAATCCAGAACCTTGGTGTTTCTATTTAAGTCTTTAACTTCAATACTGTTTTTGCAATTTCAGTGTGGAAATCTTGCACAAATCTAGTTGGGTTTCTTCCTAGGTCTAGGTTTTGATATCGTGGTAATTTAAAAAATGGTACAGCTTTTATTTTTTAAATTATTATTATTATTTTTTAAAGATTTTATTGGGGAATTGGGGGAGGGGAACAGTGTTAGGGAATTAGGGAAGGGGAACAGCCAAGTTGTTGTCCTTCAGTCTTAGTTGTGGAGGGTGCAGAAAGCTCAGCGCCAAGTCCAGTCACGCTGCTCAGCTCAAGGTGCTGTGTTCAATTAGTTGTGGGTGGGCGTAGCCACCATCACATGCGCGAGTTGAACCGAGCAGCCTTGTTGTTAACAGCGCACGCTCTATCCCCTGAGCCACCCGGGCAGCAGCTCAGCTCAAGGTGCCGAGTTCAGTCTTTAGCTGTGCGTGGGCTACGCCCACCATCTTGAACAGGCAACCTAGTTGTTAGGAGCACGTGCTCTCACCAGCTGAGCTATCCTGCCACCTGTTGACAGCTCAGTGGCAGCTCAGCTTGGGCGCAGCTCACTGGCCCACGTGGGAATTGAACCGGCAATCCTGTTGCTCAGAGCTCACACTCTAGAGCAAGCTCTTTACCAACTGAGCCACTTGGCCAGCCCAAAAAATGGTATAGTTTTCACAAATTTTATTTTCAATTTCTTTGTTGTTGGTGCATAAAAATACAATTGATTTCTGAATACCAATCTTGTATCCAGGCCTTTGCTAAATTCACTTATTTCCAAAGTTTGTTTCTTTGGTGAATAGCAACAGTTTAATTCCTGTCTTTCCAGTCACCATGCATTTTAATTCTTCCTCCGGCTTAACTGAAGGAGCCAAGAACTCTGATTCTATGGGGACTAGAGGTGGTGATGGCAGGAATCTTACCCCATTTTTTCCTCAAGGGAAAATCTTTCCAACATCCTGATTAAATTACCATACCTTCTATGAGATAAAATTTCCTTTCTGATTCTATTTCTTTACAGTTTTCCTTTAAATTGAGAAAGGTGCTGGAATTTATCAAAAACATTTCAGCATCTGTGATCATGATTATGTGATGTTCCCCATTTTCTTTGTTAAAATGGTGAATTGGGTTAGTGGGTTTCAAATTGTAAACTACACTGCAATTCTGTGATGAAATCCATGAGGTAGCACTTCAGATCTGTGGATGCGTGTGTGTGGGGGCGTGTGTGTGTGAATGAACTTTGTTTTAAAAGTTTCAGGTTTTGAGAAAAGTTGCAAAAATAGTGAAAGAGCTCCTACATCTCTCACAGCCAGTCCCTCTTGTCTCTCACTACTTACATTATTGGTGCATTTGTTCAAAGAATGAATGAACAATGATAAATTCTTCTTAGCTCAACTCCACACTTTATTCAGATTTCACTCATTTTTCCTTAACCTTCTTTTCCTGTTCCAGGGTCTCATCCAGGACATTACATTGCATTGGATGTGGCATAGCTTATGTATTGGGTTGTCGGAAAAGTCACGATGCATGTTTGCAACAGATGGCACTAGCTCATTTTTGGAAGTACTAGAGTTATTTGCATCTATGTTTTTGCTATGTCATTTGACAGCTGACAGTTCTAGCTTCATTCTAAAAAAAATTGAGCGATTTGATTGAGTTTTGGGGATTTTACAAGTTGAAGATGGAAGACCAAACTGTGCATTTTTGCCATACTTTACTGTTTTACTTCCATAAAGGGAAGAACGCGCGTCAAGCTTGTGAAAAGTTCCATCAAGTTTACGGTGACAATGCTCTACAAGAACGTCAGTGCCAATGATGGTTCACGACTCTGTGCTGGTGATTTTGATGCTCCTCAGTCAGGGAGGCCCACTGACGTTGATGACGACAAAATAAAGGCATTCATTGAGTCAAACTCATGTTACACGACATGAGAGACTGCAGAAACATTGAACATTCATCATTCAAATGTTCACGACCATCTGAAGAAGCTGGGATACGTAAGCAAGCTCGATATTATGGTTCCGCATGAACTCAAATAAGTTCATTAGACGGCGTGTGTAAATATCTGCAATATGCTCATTAAGTGTGAGGGAAACAATCCTTTTTTGAAGCGACTGATAACTGGTGATGAGAAGTGGATTGTTTACAACAATGTGGTGCACAAACGGTCTTGGTCCCGACGTGATGATTCGCCTCAAATGACATCGAAAGCAGACATTCATCAGAGGAAGGTTATGCTCTCAGTGTGGTGGGATTTTAAAGGCGTCGTGTTTTTCAAGCTCCTACCAAGGAACCAATCAATTTGAATGTGAACTGTCGGCAATTGGACAGTTGGAACGAATCCATCATCCAGAAACGTCCAGAGCTTGTTAACTGTAAAGATTTGTGTTCCATCATGACAACGTGAGACCACACATGTTTGATCACCCGTCAAAAATTAGTGGAGCTTGGATGGGATGTGTTGCCACACCCACCACACTCATCTGACCGTGTGCTGTCAGACTTCCACTTGTTTTGCTCTCTTCAAAACTCCTTGCGTGGTATAATGTTCAATTCAGATGAGGCTGGAAATCAGCACCTTGGTTCAGTTTTTCGCAAATAAAGACAGGTCCTTCTATGAACAAGGAATTATGAAGCTCACTGAAAGATGGC